AAAATGTAATAGGTCATAAAGCCTTATTATACAAGGTGAATGTGTTAGTAAACAAGCAGTGCTTGCTAACTATTTTAACGAATACTTTAATTAGGTATTTAGTTGCGATAATTGCGGTCCAGATCTCAGCTTTGGCGGTGCTCGGCTTTATTGGATGTTTGCATTAGTGTATCGGGTGCTCTAAATCTACTCCTAATACTCCTAAAGTTCGATTGTAAAACAAAGCCTTGGACCTGAAGAGATTACCAATTTTTTTATTCACCGTTTTTCTCTTTGAGCTCCAAAGTACTTATTTGTAATTTTTGAAAAATCCGTTTCTAGTGCAACGGTAACTCGACTATGAAAAACAACTAAAATTATTTCCCTATTTAAATACGGTAGCAAGCAAGTGGTTACTAACTTTCCTCTACTAACATCCTATTCTTACAAGCTCCTTGAACACACCAGTTCATAAACATATATTTGAGCACCTCGATACTAATTCGATTCTTTATCCCCCAGCACATGGCTTTCGTCCTGGCTGCTCTACCTCTACCCAGCTACTAGAATTCACACATGAAATTCATTTTGCCTTAGTTAAAAGAGGGCACCTAGATGCAATTCCATCTTTATTGACTATTTAAAGGCTTTCGATAAAGGGCCACTTTCTAAACTTCTTCAAAAACTGCGAATGATCGGAAAACACGCATCACTGATAAATTGGATCTCTGATTACCTAAAAGATAGATCTCAGTTTGTTTCATATGCGTACGTTTATTCTAGCAACGTCTCGATTGGCTCTGGTGTCGCGCAGGGTTCGGTTTTAGGACCACTTTTGTTTTTGCTTCATATTATTGACAATGTTGACCATATTCCTATTAAGACTCGCTTTTATGTTAATGATCGCGGTTTATATAATGAAATCGGTGCCGTATATGATCACGCCATGCTAAATAAATGACTCATTTTTATTATTTCTTAATTAAAGCTAGATATGGCAGATAAAAATGAGCTTTGAAAAGTTTGTGCTCATGACGTTCACTAACAAAAATACACCCTCTGTGTTTATTATGGTATAGGTACTACAATTTTCTGCAACACCTACAACTTCTTTTTATACAAACGTGGAAACACCACATAATGTAATTTAGAAATGCAACACCTACCACCAACAATGTAACAAACGAGCCTCCTCTATCTTATGGTGGGCGATTAGGCTGACGCTACTCATTCATTTAGCATTAACACCAATCAAAACCACAGAAAAAAGCTTCCCCCGTCGGGCGACTGTTACGTTCGGAGCTTGAGCAAGCAAAATAAAACCGAATACACAGGCTGTCAGCCAGAATGGAACAACTTTTAGAAAACTATCACTCATCAAGACGGTCTATTTAGCTCCTCTTACTTTATTGTTTATTAAACGTTAGGCACAAGACCGAGCATTACCAAGCCCAGTTTTTTACACACATTTGACGCTGTTCAGCGGTGTTACAGCGAGCCGCTGGTCGCTCGAATTTTCTTGTTCTTTGCCATTGCACTAGATGCTCACTTGTTTCTAAGTTAATTGAAACGTCCGAGCAGCCGGTATGCTCGAGTATTGGCGCCGTTGTTTTTTTCCCGCGTGAATGGCAGTGGGCTCACGCGTTCATGAAGACGAAGAAGCAGACGACGACGAAGCAGACGACAAGACGACTGTATCTGCTTTTCGGCGTTTGCTGACAAACTAAGGCATCACAAACAACACAGTCTTATGAAGTACACACATACAGGAGAATCAAGCTGATACCGGGGCGTCCCACACGCTACTCTACGATGTACTACGCGCAGCCCTATGTCGCTGGGAAGCCGGAAAGGCCAATGACTACAAGTAGCATGGCGGCGGCATTACTTCTGGAATGCGCGCACCTGCGCAGTTCGCGTGGCGACATCGGCCTATTATGAAGTCTGAATTTGGATTCGCAGATAAGCACTGAAAGGTTAATTGAAACTGTGTTTTTCACGTAGGCTTTCTCACCTAGATACGGGAACCATAGGGGTCTTGAAATTCAGAAATTTACTTATATTGTAGTGACAAGAATTAAAAAAAAATGCTCAGGAGCCAAACGGGCTTTTGATCAGCGTAGGTACCAGATGCTTCACAGAAAGCTGGCTTTGTATATTTGGAAATAGTGTGAATAGAATCGTACCTAGAGTAAACTTCCCCTACATTAGCATATATTTGACTTGAGAACATTTTGGGAACATATTTCTTAATATAATCTAGTGTTAACATGCCATGACAAATGTAACAAAATGTTTTCTAGATTATACGTTTCAAGAAATGCCACACAGCTTCATATTTAACGTTGCTGCAGGATAGTGACAATTATTACATAAAATGATAAACGTATGGTCTCAGAAGCACTATAGTGCACAGCAAAGTTGTAAAATAACAATTACATAACCCGGTCAATATATTAAGGCATTTCATCGGGTCTATTCCGAAGTGTAGTTTCAACGTTTTATTAACTTTGCTATTAAAAATATAAACGAGGAATAATAGCATTTCGGACACTTTTTCAAGAATAAGGCTACCAGATACACTTATCAAAACAACACTTTTTTTATACTTGTGCATTCGGTGACAGTAACCAGCTCGCCATTTATTTTTTCTATATACCTGGCCAAAAATGCATGACAAGGGGTGGAGTGCTTATTTTAGGTTACAATCTTTGGATGCTGTTACAAATTGAGGAAAATGGAGTTGGGGCGAACCGCAGATGCTTATGAAAGCCAGGCTGCGTGGCGCGACGTCTGTTGGCCGGCCGAGTACATAGTGAACGAAGCAAACAACTCACTGTCTCTCAGATCTCATAGATCTGTGCGACCAGTTAGCTCATAGGAATACAACTGGTCATACTTTGCTTGCCGTCCCAAGGCGATGCTCTCGCATATGCTAAGGCATACTAATAAGTGGTTCATATAGTGTGAATAATATGTTCTCTACTTACTATTCTTTTGTCTCAAGGATATGAAAACCAGGCCAATCATCACATATCAATGCTACCACAGCACGATCACCAATGATCCACCAGGCTCCGCAAATTTTACGATTCTTTGGGATTGGACAAATAAACAGACACCGGAGGCCCACGGTATCACATGGTCCGCCAAAACAAAAACGCCTAACTCATACACACGGTACGTCAGCCCACGTTTTAACTGTACATTTCAGAGACGGTACTTTAAAACTGTGTTTGTGAGCCGCGTCTGCCAGTGGTCTATGCTATTCTATTGCAATACGCGTAATAGTTTTAGTAGTCTAGTAATGAATTTGATCGAAATGTTTAATTTAATTACGTATGAAAGAATGAAAAAGAACCTTAAACGTTCAATGCCAGTTCATATTTATAAAAAGTAGGCTTCCTCACAATATTTAATTGAAGAGCAATTTTACTGAAAAAATACCGATTCATTAGAAACGTTAACAATATAATTCAGTACTCATCAAATCGCTGCTTAATTGGTCTGACTAATTTTATAGGAATGCCCCCATATAATGCTCCTTGGGCCCTTAGAGTCCCCTAAATTAATAAATATATAAATAGGTAATGCGTTCCGTACTTCTCTCAAATGACTAAACATGGAGTGCCTTCTCGTTTAAATATATAGCGATGGTTTCCAGTGAGAGACTTCTCAGACTGCTTATGATTGAGCCTAAACAAAACACTAACTGTATTGTTCGGGATCCAGCAGATTTCTTTGTTTCGAGTCATGTGGCTCTGTTTTTTTTTTTTTTATGTTGCTTGTCCAGATATTGATATATTTATATTGAATGTTCTATTGTTCAAACTAATTATAAAAGTGTGTGGCACCTAGTATCCGGGAATTCATACTGACTAATGAGTCACTGAAAACAAATGCGGCAAGCGTTCTATAAAGCGCCACGCTTCGAAGGCCGAAATCTTGAAACGCTCGCCATCCTACTATGGATTTTTATGTGCAATCATAATATAATAAACCTCGTGTAATTTAAATAAATACAAATGTCGAATATTTTGCTAATCTTCAGGGGCATAACTCCGGTCAATATTACGACTGTTTTCAGCTAAATAGTGTCCCTGAGTTACAAGGTATAATTTTGTTTTCGATGTTGTGTGTAGTTTTATAAATATCACGGGCTCAAAGTTTGGTCTCGGGCGCCAACGTAAAAACCGGAACTATCTGCTAGGGGGATGGCAAACCCTGGTAATCAGCGGCACGGTCTTGACGTGATGTTGCAAGAGTACTGTGGTAAGCGATGCAACCAATCGACCGCAGCTACACTGCGACGTGGCGTCATAAGGGTGCTGCACCAGTGTTCCTTAACTAACCCGTTTGCTGCTAGCTAAAGAACAGCTGGTCGCGTCTTTAAAATTGGTTTTAGTGGAGCACGCGGGTTCACTTTGATGTGATGTTTTGGCTGTGACCATATTTCGTGCCACTAAAGCGTTTCTAGTCATTTATTTTGGTTTCGTGTTCGACCGGAGTTGCCCTTTAACGTCTCTTCAAGCAGTCAATGCTTCTAGGGTATACCTCGTGCTGTCGAAAGAACCTTTGTAGAACCAAACCAGTAACGAGGCAATGTTGACATTCTTTTGCATTTAACCCGAATGACTAAAATACTTCTTCTTCAATAGGCAGCCTGAGTTTCAATGCAAAATCGAGTGCTTGTAACCTCCCTAGGCATGTTCTCGATAATTAAAGATATTGCGATATATTTTTTCTATCTGATGGCGAAAAAACACCATCCACCCAAATGAAATGGGTACGAATCTTTTACGCTTTGCCCTATGGTTGATCTGGGAAACTATTATGTCGAATTTATTTATAAATACATGAAACGTTCCTTAAAATTTAAGTCAAACTTTATGCCGACGCGCTAATAAATATTATTTATTTCGCTTAAAATGAAACGTTCAAGAATTTGGGTGTACTGTTAGTTCATGAATTTTTGTTTAATTTGGTGTGCTTAGCCTAGTAATACACACTTTTTTTTCCAGTGACACAATTAGGACACATTATGATGCAGTCAGTGGTGTCGGGAAGATCAACACTACAAGTAAGTGAAAATGGATATAAAGATATATTTCCCAAAAGAGGTAGACACATCGAAATTATGAAATAAATAACTTCGCTATGTATTTTCCGAACGCGGATAATATCGTAGAAAGACAATAATTAATATTACCACGCGCGTCGCAGATCAAGCACAAACTTGGCCGAATGGTTACCGTGCTAGACTGTCGGCCGGAAGATCTGGGTTTAATTCCAGGTAGCGGAATGTTCTTTTATTTATTCTTAATACTTGTCGTTCTAGAAACATCGAGAACATTCTCGTCTCGTCGAGTTACGAATGTTCTACGCACCGAACGTTTTCGGCCGAATGTTCCAGAAACCCACACCTGTACAAAATGTGCCCCGCGTGGCGAGCCGAGGTCCGTCTCGCCCAGCGTTTGATCCTGCTGTAACGCCGACTTCGACGCTCGCGACGCTCTGTTGTTATCCTCTATTCCCTTTTTGTATTGGGCACAAGTTCTCCCCATTAAATGTTTATTTATTGTCCTTTCGCGAAGTTTCGGCCGTACTTGTATGGGAGCCCGTTCCGCGTAGTTACGGACCACCAATCACACTGCTGGCTTGCGAACCTCAAGGACCCTTCAAGACGCCTCGCTCGATGGAGTCTCCGACTACAGCAGACTGTGGTCTAAAAGTCAGGCCGCAAGCACAGCGACGCCAACTGGCTGTCCAGAGCCCCTGTCCAAACATCTCCCGGCAGCAGCAGTGGCGGCTTCGATTACGTGTTCTCTCACGAGCCCTGCAGACCTTCGCCATTCGACAAGATGTACTTTATAAAGGGAACTTCGGAGGCAACAACTCGCCGTGGCTGCTGGTAATCCGGACTGACCGCCGAGAGGCGATCTTTCAAGCCTGCCAGGACGACCTGACGTCCGGACACCTTGGTTACAGTCGGACACTGGCTCGTATTCGTGAAACGTATTACTGCAGCCCAAGCTCCCCAAAACCGTCCACCTATACACACGGTCATGCCACGAGTGCCAGCGACGTAAAAAACCGCCGACGAAGCGGGCAGGTCTCCCGCAGCCAATTCCTCTGCCATCTGCACCGTTCCAGCAGATTGGAGTGGATCTGCTTGGCCCTTTCCCGCCGTCAACTCTGAGAAACCGCTGGATAGTCGTCGCCACAGATTATCTCACGCGGCACGCCGAAACGAAATCCCTTCTTTTTAGGACTGCTACGGAAGTCGCTAAGTTTTTCATCGAGTCCATCGTCCTCCGGCAGGGCGCTCTCGGAGTTCTGACTACAGATCGCGGGTCGTCATTCATGGCAGAGCTGATGCAAGACATCCTACATCTCTGCCACGCCAACCGCGGCGAACCACAGCGTACCATCCTCAGACGAATGGTCTGTCGGAACGCCTAAACTAGACCATTGCCGACATGGTATCGATGTACGTCGACGTCGAACACAAGACTTCGCATCATATCTTGCCGTATGTCACGTTCGGTGTGACAGCAGAGACCCCTGCTGTTACACAATTCCAGCTGGTTCATGGTCCCAAGGTGAACACGATGCTTGACGCCATGCTACTTCACGAGCCGGCTGGCGACGGAACAGACAACGCCCATCTGGTTGCGCAACGAGCAGAGGAAGTCCGCCATCTCGCCAGAGTCCGGATCCAAGACCAGCAACGTGTCGACGCTGGCCACTACAACCTTCGCCGTCGCGACGCCCACTATCTGCCCGGAGACAGAGTATGGGTATTGACACCTATTCGCCGCCGCTGTCTCAGCGAGAAGCTGTTAAGACGGTACTTCGGACCCTTCAAGGTGCTTCGTCGACTCAGAGACCAGAACCGCGAGGTGATACCCGACGGAACAAGAATATCATCACGCCGCCCACCGCGACCTGAAGTCGTCCCTACTACGCTTGAAGTCAAACCCTACTACGCTTGATAAGATTGTAAACTGGGATCTCGTACTACGCTCAATAGGAAAGTGTTTTACAGGCATCCGTAGTTTCCCCTTCCTTTGGTTGGTTTTGTCTGTTTTGTTTCCGTGCATCGAAACGATGTTTTTTTTAAAAGGGGGAGTAATGCAACGCGCGTCGCAGATCAATCCCGCACGAAGCCGAATGGTAACCGTGCTTGACTGTCACTCGGAGGATCTGGGTTCTATTCCAGGTAGCGGAATGTTCATTCATTTAATCTTTCTACTTCTCGTTCTCGCAACTTCGAGGACTTTCTCGTGTCACTGAGTTACAAATGTTCTACGCGCCGAACGTTCTAGGCCGAATGTTCCAGAAACCTACGACGGTACAAAAGGTGCTCCGCGTGGCGAGCCGGGGTCAGGCTAGCCAAGATTTCGATCCTCCTGTTACGCTGACTTCGACGCCCGTGACGCTCTGTTGTTATCTTCTATTCCCTTTTTCTTTTGGGCAGAGGTTCGCGCCATTAAACGTTTACATATTCCTGTTTATTCATTGTTCTTTTGGTCACCACCCGTGACAATATGGACTATTATAAATTAAGTTGACAGTTTTAATGATATTTTAGTAGATACCAAACAAGATTATTCGCAACGTGATTTATGAACACTAAAGTAATCACCACCCACCAGGGAGCTGCTCTCAAAATACCATAAAGATATCAATATTTTTTTCCGCGAAATAATATAGCTACTGCAATATATCCTATAGTACACAATGTGGATTCCGTAACACACTTTGGAAATGGCCTTGATCAAAATAGGTCACCAAGGACGTGTCTGTTTTAGTCACAAAAGATGTGCCTAATCACATAATATGTTTCACAGGAAGTAACGAATAAAGGGCTTGTCTGAAGAAATGTCAATTAAGAAACAATAATTATATCATGACCTGCTGCGTATTATTGCCTACGTACCTTTGACGCGCTAAGCCAGTTTTCGAGAAATTTATGATTTTTACCTTTACAAGTATATACGAGTATCATTTTTTCTAAACATTCCGCTTTTCAAGACCCGAGTTCATCGAGCTTATCGGGCGCATATCAAAGAATAATAAAAAAAAAATGCAATCAGTACACGCCCCGCAGGGGGCACCTGTGAAAGCAGGTGTTTGGAGAGTGGCGTCTCCACGGACCACGAGCTCCGCAGGGGGCGCATGCACCTGAGGTGCTAGGTGCTTGGTGAGTAGCGTCACCACGGACCCCAGCCGTGTGGGCCACCATACCCGCACGTAGGGGGCACCTACTCTAGTAGGTGCTTGGTGAGTGTCGTCACTACGAACCCCGAGCCATGTGGGTTCGCCCACCCACGTCTGGCTGTGCGTGGCTTAACCCGTGTCCGGGGAAAGGGGGACCCTGGTGGTTGAGCTGAGCCCGGGGCATGTTTGGACCCTTCGGGGCCCCCCGGGCGAGGCAATACACTGCTTCGACCCCTGCTTCTCGTAGACGGGTGTCCTGGCTTGGCCCGACCAGGATGATTCAGTCAGTCGCCTCTTCTACCCACTTCTTCCTTCTTTCACTTTTCCTCCCACCTCCTTCTCTTTTCTGCTACACTCTCTTCCTTCCTTTTTCACCTTCTTAGGGGGCAAGGGCCAACCTTGAGTGGAAACAGGTCCTGTCCCTGCAACCACACTAGGGTATAGTGCCCGGGCAGCACTGGTAGTGTAATTGTGTCAGCCAAGCCTTTCTTGCTATGGCACATTACCTACCCCCTTGTTGGGCTCCGTGGTGGGCGGTGCACCCGGGCACTGAATGTTCCTCCCCATGTCATGGGTTCTCGTACAAAAACCTTCCTCGATCGGCCCCCGAAAAGGGGCCGCACCGAAGTTCCAACCACAGTCAACACACCATCTACTCCTGCTAGGTTCCCAAAGTTCTTGGTTCTGCACCCTGAAACTGAAAAACCACTATTAAAGTTTTCTCCCTTCCTTGTAGCCAAGATACTTGAATCTACTGTCGGAAAGAAATTCAAGGCCAAGAAATTGCCCTCTGGCGACCTGCTTGTTGAAATCGAATCAAGCCAGCAGAGTGCTGCCCTTGTTGCTTTAAGTTCCATATCTGACCAGAAAATCACAGTTACACCTCACCGCACCCTAAACACCATCCAGGGGGTCATTTCTGAGGATGACCTCCTTGACTCCTCAGACAGTGAAATAGTTGAGGGACTTTCCGACCAAACGTTCTAGCGGCAAGGCGTATCTCCTTGCGTCGCGACGGCCAAGAACGGAAAACAAGGCACATAGTTCTTACCTTTGAATCCACTACATTGCCAGAGGCTGTGAAGGCTGGGTACCTTCACTGTAGAGTGCGGCCCTACGTACCAAATCCTCGCAGGTGTTTTAACTGTCAGAGATTTGGTCATGGATCCCAGAACTGCCGAGGCAAAGCCAGTTGTGCGAAGTGCGGTCAGGCTAACCATCAAGCTGATACATGCTCTAACGACGCCAACTGTGTCAACTGCAACAGTCCCCATCCCGCGTATTCCCGCTCTTGTAAAACTTGGAAAGATGAAAAAGCTATTCTTACCTTGAAAGTGAAGGAAAATCTCTCTTATCCAGAGGCACGCCGTCGCTTTGTGTTCTTGCAAAAAGGCGGCTTTGCAGAGGTGGTGCAGCGGGGGCCTGCACCACTGAAAGTGGCAGTGGCGACCCAGACGTCTTTTCCAGACAATGGGAAGCCACTGCAGTCCCCCACGCCCAAGCTGAAAATTCAGCTCCCTGGGCATGCACTTTCAGCAGGTCGGTCTGCCGACCATTCCAGCAAGAGTGCTAACTTCCCTGCACCTTCAGGGCAGCAGCCTCTCCGTTCTGGCGGAGAGTGTGCACAGGCTGCCCACCCTTCTCAGGATGGGCCGGCAGCTGCAGCTGTCGTGCCCGTCCGCACTCCGCGGTCCCCTTCCAGGGAAGGAAGTCGACGCTCTCGTCCGCACTCGTCGGAGATAGCATCCTCTTCCAAGGAGCGGCATGTCTCTTCTGTCGCTCCTACATCGAAAAAGGGACAGGAACGGGTGGAGTCGGGCAGTGCCCTGCCCAACACACCTGCTGCCTCTTCTGCTGGATCAGGTCGTGGCCGGGGCCTGCAGCCCCGCGCCGCGAGCCAAGCCAAAGCTTTACCCAAAGCCCCGTCCCAAGAGGCGGAGGCAATGGATGACAGCAGTGAGGTGTTTGCGCCAGCGTCTGTTTAAGACGACATGGACTGGCAGACAGCTAAATCTAAGCATAAGAGCAAAAAACCAGTAACCCCTCCAAAGTGACGTAGGACATTCTTTTTTGCCCTGCGCGGCAAAGTCAAGGTTTTACTTTTACTTGTTCTTTTCTACTTTTACTTATTTACTAATCTTTTAACTGTTTTAGAATAATGTCTAAATTTACTTTTATGCAGTGGAACTGCCGCGGTCTTTTACGAAATATTGATGATGTCAATTTTTTTATGGACGAATTACGTCCTATAGCTCTCTCCTTACAAGAGACACATCTTAATGATCATAATTCAGTGTTACGTCGCCATCAGTTTTTTAGAAAAGATCGCCCTTCATCAAATGCATCAGGTGGAGCAGCTGTGGCTGTTCGAAGTGGAGTCGCATGCTCGCAGGTTCCTCTTTGCACACCTCTTGAGGCAGTGGCTGTGCGCCTTCTTTTGGATCGCCTCATCACTGTTGTATCTATTTATATTCCACCAAACATTCCACTGCATCTTCATGATCTCCAAAGACTTGTTGCACAGCTTCCTCACCCTTTTTTACTTTTAGGAGATTTTAATGCTCACCACCCGTTATGGGGTAGCGCCCGCCAAGACTCACGTGGTGGAGTCCTTGAGCGGTTTTTATTAACATCTGGGCTGTGCCTCATGAATAACAGAAAACCAACCTTTTTCAGTGCAGCTCACAATTCATTTACATCTATCGATCTTTCCATCTCATCCTCTTCAGTGTTTTCTTCATTGACATGGAAAGTCTTGGATAATCCTTTTGGAAGTGACCACTTTCCAATCATTTTGGAGAGTCTTGTTTCAGTTCCAAGCCTTATGAAACGTACCCCTCGTTGGAAACTTGACAAGGCAGACTGGAGTCTATTCAACCTAAATGCAGAGCTTAAGCCTTGCATGTTCTTGTCCTTAACACACGATGAAGCCACCACATACATTACACAACAGATCACTAATGCCGCTTTTCGCTTCATCCCTCAAACCTCCTCTAGCATCCCCAAAAAGTGTAAACCATGGTGGAATGATGATTGTTCCAATACTAAGAAAAAACAGGACAAGGCATGGGGTATATTTCGCAGATATGCAACATTCATGAATTTGATAGAGTTCCAGCGAAATAGGGCCCAAGCTCGTTGGACCAGGAAACAGGCCAAGAGGAAGTCCTGGAGAGGCTATCTGTCATCTATAAGCTGTTATGTCCCAGCAAAAGAAGTGTGGGACTGACTGCACAAGGTTGAAGGCAAATACCGATGCTTTACAGTCCCTCTTTTTCCCTCTGTAAGCTCTTTACATGACCAGGCCAATGTGTTGGGCGCTCATTTTGCAGCCGTTTCAAACTCATCTCATTACTCTTCAGCGTTTCTGAAGTTTAAAACAGATGCACAAAAAACGAAAGTCAGTTTGGCAGGAGGAGCCTCTGCACCATATAATCAGCCGTTTACAATGGTTGAACTTCAAATGGCTCTCAAAATCCGGAAGCATTCATCCCCGGCTCCTGATCGAATACATTATGAGATGATCCGCCATTTATCGGAGGAGTCACTCTCAGCCCTCCTGACATATGTCAATGAACTATGGAACGATGCACACTTCCCCGCCGATTGGAAGCAGGCAGAAGTAATTCCGTTGCTAAAGCCTGGAAAGGATCCTTCACTTCCTACAAGTTACAGGCCGACTGCACTGACTAGTTGCTTGGGGAAAACGTTTGAAAGGATGATTAATAAGCTTCTTGTTTATTTCCTGGAGCAACACAATATTTTGAATTTAAATCAATGTGGGTGTCGATCAGGACGTTCCACCATAGACCATTTAGTCCGGCTGGAGACTGTTGTACGAGAGGCGCTTGTAAATAGGCAGCATTGCGTATCTGTATTTTTTTATTTGGAAAAGGCTTACGATACGACTTGGAGGCATGGCATCCTACATGACTTGTTCATGTATGGAGTACGCGGCAGATTATTTCATTGTATAAAAGACTATCTTAGTGGACGTTTCTTCCGTCTACGGTTAGGCACGACAGTATCCAACAGCTTTCTCCAGGAGAATGGTGTTCCTCAGGGTGGAGTGCTGAGTGTCACCCTCTTCGCCATAAAAATTAACTCTCTTTGTCGTGTCATACCTTCCTCAATATCATATTCATTATACGTAGATGACATTCAAATTTCTGTAGCATCATGTAATATGTCTAGTTGTGAAAGGCAGCTACAACTAGCCATAAATAAAATGACTAAATGGGCTAACGAGAATGGCTTTAAGTTCTCTCCAGAAAAAACTATTTGTGTGCCATTTTCTTTACGGCGGGGTCTGTGGTTAGAGCCCTCTCTCATGTTAAATGGAAATACCATCGAAGTTAGAACTGAGCTTAAGTTTCTGGGATTGATATTTGACAGTAAGCTTAGTTTCGTCTCCCATCTCAAATGGCTGAAGCAGAAATGTATGCAGACATTGAACATTCTTAAAGTCCTCTCACACAAGTCTTGGGGTTCTGGTAGGAGGTGTCTATTTCGTTTGTACTTCTCTCTTGTACGATCGCGCCTTGATTATGGGTCTGTTGTGTTCGCGTCTGCTCGGCCGTCTGCCTTAAAAATGCTTGACCCTGTGCATCACCTTGGGTTGCGTCTTGCGACGGGTGCTTTCAGAACACCTCCTATTTTAAGCTTGTATGCTGACTCCAATGAAATGTCACTTGAAAAAAGGCGGCAGTACCTAAGTCTCGTTTATGCCTAGAAGGTTTTATCAGAACCCAGCCATCCAGCCCACAATAGTATTCCAGAATCTAAGTTTCATCGTACTTTCGAGCATAAACCAACTGTTATTCGACCCTTGAGCCTTCGTTTTGAGAGTCTCCGTCTCTCCCTTAACCTGCCACGTGAGGGTGTCCATTTCCTAGAAAGTGCATATCATACTGCCCCATGGGATATGAAACAAATAGCTTGCAATTGGTATTTTACAAAATTTAATAAACATAATGTTTCTCCACTCATTCTACAACAGGAATTCTTAGCTCTGCAAGAAAAATACATACATTACCGCCAGTTTTATACTGACGGTGCCAAGTCCTTAATGTATGTCGGCTCAGCTGTTTACTCAAGTTCGTTTACCCATGTAACTCGACTTCACAATGTCGCCAGCATGTTTACTGCCGAACTATATGGTGTTCTGGCAGCACTTGACTATATAATCAGGAACAAAGTGATGAAAGCCATTATATTTGTAGACTCTCAAAGTGTTCTTACTGCAGTATGTTCTATCACACCAACTACGAAAAAGTTGACTCGACTTGTACGGGCCAGAGCTCAACAGGGACTCGCTGGTGGGAAGGACATTAAGTTTTGCTGGATCCCGAGCCATGTGGGCATCGCAGGCAACGAGGCTGCAGATGGACTAGCTGCTTCTTCACAGAACCTTTTACCATCGAATGTCTGCATACCTTACCAAGACCTTAAAGCGTCCGTAAAATTTTCACTCTCGCAACTTTGGCAGTCTGAATGGAAGTTAGCCGATAACAATAAGCTTCATGTCATCAAGCCAGAACTTGGTGCATGGGAAACCTCGTATAATAAAAATCGTTTCCACGAAGTCCTCCTGTGCCGGCTGAGAATCGGCCATTCATTCCTAACCCATCAATACCTGCTTATAGGTGAGGAACCGCCGATATGCGAGCACTGTGGGGAAGCTTTATCTGTTCTGCATGTTCTCTTTCTTTGCCGTGGCCTTTTACAACAATACAAGATCTATTTCTCTGAGTTTTTCAAGTACAACATCCCATTTCACCCTGTCCTATTTCTAGGGGAGCAGCCTCTCATATCACTTGAACGTCTTTTAGCTTTCCTCAAAACTACAGGTATCTTACATAAATTATAGCCAAATTCTAGTCTAGTGAGTGTACTTTTACAAGTGTTTTTCAGCTTACCTAGTTTGGCGCAGTATGGCCATCGGAGCTCTTGCGCCATAAAACCCGTAAACAACAACAAGCAATCAGTACACGTCACTCTAAAGTATGGTGTGTTCCGCATTTCCGCTTGAACCGTGCTTTGCAATCACTGCATCATACCTTGCCTTATTTACTAAATAGATTTCATCTCAAAAACAGATATATATTCTCTGACAAAAGCTGAGTTGCATATCCGATTTATTTAAACGGAATTCCTGTGTATGGGTGCGCGTTCTATGCTTCTTCTGTTTTTCATTTTGTAGTACATGCTGTACAACGTTTCCACTTTGTTGTGCTTTTACTGTGTTTTTGGGTGCACGCCTACGTTCGTAGGCGAACGTCCATAACTACTGTGTAACAAACGTTGTGAATCTTTTTTAATATCCTACTCTTTTATTTTTATATTTCTGCCAAGTCGTTGAACTTGTTTTGCATTAGGGCCCCTGACAGAGTCAACTTACCTCATGATAGCTTTTTTGTCTGGAGGCCAGCCAGAGTAATTTTTTGGAAATATATAATTCACTTCATTTCATATCATTAAAAAAACGTGAATTTTGTCTAATCTTGAATTCCCTATTTTTGTTCTATTTCAGCTGTTCAGGAAGAGTTGACTGTTTTGCTGCCGTTCGAAGGCAAGGTACTTTATGAAAAGATCGGTAGGTGACGCATACGGTAAAGCGCACACTTTCTTTAAATAGCAGGATCAAGTATAGTGGCTTGACGTGAAAGCGGTGAAGTTAATTTCACTCGAAGGAGCTTGAATATAATAGATAGAATTTAAAGTAACGCCGGAAAGTGCCAGCAATTATCACCAGCTTTTCACAAGATATCAAAATAAGATTTATGTACCAGGGCTTTGTTTCTCCTGTGTCATTTAGCCATTTACGGTTGTTTGCGCTACCACCTCACCTGAGCGTTCAAATGAGAGCTAGTCCAGAATATTGTAATGCAGCCATGTATCGTTAATATGTCAGCTTCCGTTCCCTTAAATGTCGTGCGTACTGTGAGCCGCCTATAGCAGGAATACAAAAATACATAGATTTACTCAGTTCGTCCCTGAAATGGTGTCTTTATAGCAGAGTATCTATTTTAACGCGGTATATTCTAAGGAGACACGAGTGTAGTTGTTTTCATCTGGGGATACTACCCGGATAACACGCTAGAGAAACTCCCAACTTGGGCGAAAGTGTGGAAAACACTAGGGCTTAACTTTGGCCCAGTTAGGTTTTGCTCCATGGCGCTTGTCAATGTTCAAGTACGCTACCCATCTATAGCCCTAGTTGAGCGATCCTAGGGCATGTCAATGTTTTGCTTTCTCTGGTTTGCCACAGGAGTGCCAAAGTAAGTGCCATACTTGAGCCATAAATGCCAAAGTAAAACCTAATTTCGAGATTCCGGACGTGCCAAAGTTTTGCTTTTCTAGGCTAGGCACAGGAGTGCCAAAGTGAATGCCATACCTGAGCCATTTCTGACAAAGTAAAACCTCATTTGGGTATTTCGGACGTGCCAAATTTTGGCTTTTTTCTGGTTTGCTATGTGAGTGCCGGTGCCACACTGGAGCCATGACTGCCAAAGTGAAACCTGATTTGGGAAATCCGGACGTTCCACCGTTTGGCTTTTCTCTGGATCGCCACTGGAGTGCCAAAATAAGTGCCGTACTTGAGTCATAACGAAAAAAGTGATACCAAATTTGGGGATTCCGGATTTCTGTGGTGTGCCACAAGAATGCTCTTCCGCGCGGTTCAGAAAAAAATTAAATTAAATTATCGTTCTTATGGTCCGACGTCATCATTTCCGTTCCCAACCAGCACGGTGATATTTGGCAGTTTCGTGCCAGTACCGGCCGGAAATCGGTTCCAATATCGGCCTAATGTCCAGTTTTGCACCACCTCTTGATATACGGTAGGTATACATGCCTTGCACTGGCTTATCCTTACCCATTTCGCACCACAACTGAAGAGAGAGAAGGGAAAGCTACTTTTGTACGAATTCCGATGATTCGATGACGGGTTTATCGTCTATAATCTTCTGGAGCAGGGGTCAGAAACCCACGGCCCGCGGGCCGCATGCGGACCGCTGGGCGGTTTTATTTGGCCCCCGGCACGACGCCCAATAAGGAACCCCCTCTCCCCTTTGCAGCTTCCTCACAAACCCAAGAATCACAAGGAATTTAGGACTACAAATGGGGTTAGACAAGATCAAGGAACGCTTCGAATTGGCATTGTCCGGCATACCTATGCTTGTTCAGAGAACGTCTTCACTTTATTTTTGTTCTGGCACTTGTTTGGCAATGTAGGCCCAAAGATACTAGATGGCAGCCGAACTGCCTGGTAGTAAACCCAACTCTGGTCCTCGTTTGGTGATTTTGGCTCAATAAGACCAGATGGCAGCCGAACTACCAGGAAGTAAAGCTTAACTCTTGTACATCTTTGTCGAAATAGGGCCAAAATGCCCAGACGTTCGCCAAAAGGTGAGATTTAGCTCTACTTCGGCTTATTCGGGGTTATCAAGGCCAAAAACGCCCAGATCATTGTAAAATTTTTGCCCAAAGCTCTGTGCTTCCTGGGTAGATAATTTCTCATGCAATTTAACGTGTTAGAAACTGGTATCTCATCTTGCTGGTAACATACTTTACATGAAAGAATTGCTTACTAGATATGTACAAAACTTCAAGAATTAACATCCTTTCCACATGAATTACACAGAGTTTCTTATCTCTCTAAAAGGCTCCTGTTTACATTTTTTTAACTTGATGCTTGTAATTTTTTGTACAGAAAGAGTATAAGGATAATGTAAACTACCATTTTATACTCAAAAACAGAATACTTGAACATAAATTAATATATTTGATAATCACTGCAGTAAAAAAAAAACTTAACAGGAAGGCGGTCTACAGTGCTATTGTAGAATGAACCAAACTGTTTATGTTTCTTGGTGTAAAACGGCACAATACGTTGCTACCCAAATGGGACTTTAGATGTCTTAAAACGAAGACAACTAAGACAAAACTAAGGGTAAAAGAAAAGGAAGGTGACGAAAAGACAAACTGAGTTGTAAGTTACCGCGACGTGAGTGATCCTTTTTCTGGTGTGCTTGTATTTTCAGTGTGAGTGAATTTACTTTTGCGACATTTCTTACATTATGAATACCCAACTCGCCCAAGCATCGATTCTGCAAACATTTCATGTTTCAGTTCTTACAAGCGAAAACAATACTCTGGTGAACAAGATATATGACGTGGATTTCGAATGTAAAAATGCCAAGAAACTTCTGAAGAAAATTTGTCCTCAGCCCTGCAACATGATTTTGTCTCGAGACTTGAACACTGATTAAAATTGAAATCAGTTCAAACAAGTTTGGTATCTGCTGCTCCGTCTTTGCGAATTTAGTTATATTATATTATTCGTTTTGAGCTTGCCCAAACTGCCTCGGGCGCATTTAAATGTGTTTTGGAATCATAAACATATTTCACCAGTTCTAATTGACAATGTGTTTTTTTGTGTGAAATGTCTGTTCATTCTTTTTAAATAAGCGTGTGTTCATATGTCCTGTAACCCGCTACTTTTTTCGGTAACGTAGTAACGTACTCGTTACTTCTTTAGAACTGTAACGGGTGACGTACGGACGTTACTTCTCGGTCGAACAGACCATAAAGAAAATTTGACGGACCATCAAACTTTTCTGATGGCCCATCAGGCTTCTTTAATGGCCCTCCAGACCTCCTTGATGACGCCTGATGGTCCATCAGACCCTCCAAATAGACCATCATAGGGAATTTGATGGTCCATCAGACTTCCTTTATGGCGTGTGATGGACCATCAAAAGCGTCTTAATGGCCCGTCAGGAGCTCCAATAGCACCTGAATGTCCACCAGACTTCCCTGATAGGTCATCAAAGGCGTTTTGATGGTCCGTCAGGGTCTCCAATGGCAACTAATGGTACATCAGACTTCCCTGGTGAACCATCAAAAACGTTGGACGGTCTGCCGGAAGTTCACAACGGCACCTGATGGCCCGTCATACCATCGGGCGATGGACCATCAAGAGGGCTTTGTACCATCAAAGCACGTTGACTGGGTATAGTCTGGTACTTCCGCAAATCATATTCTGTAGCGGCTCTTATATGTGACGACAATATTCGATCAGTCGTAGGCGCGCGTGGATATAGGGGTTCTGAGCGAGTGTATGTTTTTCTTGACTCGACCGCAAGTAGGCTTAAACCGATCGGATATATATATTAACACGGTACTTATAATCGCCCTCATACCATCAAATTAACTGTCGATGGTCCGACAGGCTTACTTGGTGATGCCTCTTAGACCATCAAACATTTATTTCCTGGCGGTGCCTGATAGACCATTAAAGGCTTCTGTTTGTAGATCAGAGAGCTTCAAAATGTTCTTTGTGGTGACTGATGCACCATCGAAACGTTTTGATGTTGCCCGGGTGAGACCATCAGAATTTGTCGATAGGCAATCAAAACGCAAAAATGCTGATGGTGCTTCTCATAACATCTTTCGTTGGTGAAAAGAACCTGACTATATTCGGGATGTTCCAGCAGTGGCGGAGAAAAGGCGCCAATTATCTCACGTTGTCGCGCATGCATAAATTACATTCGGTGGGGAAAGCTGACAGCGGTGTGGCTCGATAACATATTGTTCAGTCGGTAATAATCAGCCTCAACAATTGCCCAAGGATACTGGAAAGGTAACGAAGACACCTTCTTATAGACTCAGGTATGTTCTTGAAACCACAGTTTTGTTTTAAATTGTTTTATTTTCCTTTGGTGAAACAACTTGTTCATGCGCTTTGTTTGTCAAGTAGATCATGTTTACAATCTAAGTAGCAGAGGATGTGCCCAAAAAGCATTTTGTTTGATAGGAAATTCATTTACTAGGCTTGCTGTGAACTAAATGTTTGCGAGGAAAAACGTTTACGAAAACGCGAATGCGGTATTACGAGGCTTACTCCATTCTCGGGCCAACGAGGCTCAGTGTATTGAACGCTCTCGCACGAAGCCGTCATGCCCAGCATGAACATCAAGTCATTAGGCCATCAGGTGTCCCAAAATACGATAGGCCATCGCATCATCAAACCATCACAGCATAAAACCATCAATGTCCCAAAATACGACAGACCATCAAACCATCACACCATCAAGCCATCACACCATCAGGCCATCAGACCAGCAATATCCCAAAACACGTCAGGCCATCATCCTGATGGACCATCAGGATTTTTTGTGATGGTCTTTTCGATAGGGTTATTCCAAGTAACGTGTAACCCAGTTACATTACTCGTTACTTTTCCCAAAACTTAGAAATATTTGATTTCAATATTTTTTTATTTTTGTCGCTGATCTATGTCCTTTTTTTTGTTTTCTTTTTGCAGTTTCTTTGTGTTTTTTTTCGTGAGTATTCAAGTGAAACCGTAAAAAAAATATAAATTATTATGTTCAGTTTCTGTATGAACATAATGTTTCTTGAAATATGGCGCCTATGCATACCTGTATCGTCAGAATTTAAAACGTGTTCATTCATAATTTAAAAAAAAACGGACACGAGGGCCGAGCTGGTTGGCCCGCGCGCTCCCTGTCCTGGAACGTGAGCCGCTCTCCTCTTTCAAGGCATCCGCGCTGCCCCCGGGGACAATGCATCATCTCCGGTCCAGGGGCACTGGCGCATCCCAGGCGCCTGATTCATCTGTGGGTGCGGGATTTTTCCCGCACTTTTCCAACATTACGTGAGAGGCTTCCCGCCTCGGCCATTTGCGCTGGAAGCGGCTTCTTCGTGCTAGCCATGGTGGATAAAGGTCGCGGTAAAAAGCAGGAAAGTTATAAAGATCGAGTTCGACTAATTTCGACAGTTTGATTCACGATCGGTCCGGTACAATTCCACTATAACCAGTTCATTTCGGCTTTGGCCTGTTCATATTCAAACTGTTTTCAAATATTTTTTTTTTCTATGGGGAAAACGTGTTTTTTTATGTCTCTAGCTAAAACAGACTTCTTGCACTGAAACGTCGCTTTCTAGTGCGAGGGCTCGTGCCACAAAGCAGCAAAATATGTTAAGAGAACGCTTATACGAATTCAAAGAATAGTAAAAAAGATAAGCGAACTATAGAGTAACAGTGGTTTTCAGCGGGATTTCTGGGTCCAATAAAATACGAGCTTGAGCCAAGAAACATTGCATAGCGGATATTCCCTGCCATTCCTTGGCTCACCCTATCTTCAATCTGGCAACATTCTTGAGTACTGGCTGTTGCTTGTGTTGAGTGGACCAGGGAATTCCTACGAACCACCATGGAACCTCAAAGCTTGGCAGAGGCCTTCCTACCTTGGCCATCTCTGACCGAGGAAAATCAATAGACAGCCACGGTAAATCAAACACTGGCCGCGGCTTGTTTACTCTGGTCATCAATGACCAAGGAAATTGATTGGTCAACCAGGAAAGACGTTCCCTGGCAGTTCCGTGGCTTTCTGGAGCAAGGAAAGGCTTTAAAACGCCAGGCTGGCATACAGACGCAAATGGCTGGGCAGTCGTGGCCAAGCTATCGCAACTAAGTGCCAATCCTGGCCGTATCTAAACCAAGCAACCTAAACCACCTGGGCAATGACATGTAAGACGAAATTAATAATACCGCATCTCTCAAATGATTTCACTTTTATATTAATTAATTCTACTTGTTTTAGGCAGGACTCGACAATACGACCCGGTTGCGAGCCAGACACGTTACTGACTAGGCCATGTCCGTCGGACTTCCTGGACACTGGCGGGAAGAGCATGAGAAGTGGAATGGAAGGTGATGCGAACGGGGCCCGATAATGATATTGCGCTCCACGTCTAAAGGCGAAGCTTCAGCGTCCGCCAAGAATTTTCCAGCCTTATCGTTGATAACGGTGCCTCACTCTATCACAGTAGTACGCGTGGTGGCACGGCTGCCAAAAAGGCAAGCTCTCTTTTATTCATGAACTTTTTCTTCTAATCTAACAGGTGGGAAAGGGGGGCCGGGGGGGGGGGGGGGGCGGAGGGGGAGTGTGTACTTACCAGGGGGCCGCGAGCCGCACATGAACCCTCGAAGAGCCGCAGTATGCCCACCCCTGGAATATACCTTGTACATTAGTGATAGCAAAATATATTTATTCAGCTCTTCATAATTCTTTCATCTCTATCAGAATAAAGGGTCGATCATAGTTTTAGGCTATAAAGGGAGAAGCCCCAAGAACAACGAAATTTATTGTTACAAAATAGTATATTTTTTACGTTAAAATTTCGGTTACCATCGAAGTACCCTTTGCCTGATGCAATACACTATTCCAGACGTTTGTTCCAATGCTTCAAACAGTCTTTAAACTCCTTCATTTTGAAAAAAATTTAGTGCTTCCGCCCTTTTCTCACCTTTTCCACATCTGCTCACTGTTTTCCTACCGGAGCTTCTTTCGTCTGGAAAAACAAATATCGCAAATTGCCCAGCAAATGTGTTGCTACGTGAAAAAAGTTTTTGATTTGGCGCTAGTGGTGCTAAACCATTAACGCTAAACCAAGTGTTTAGTGGACAGTTAGTGTTAGAGTTAGAGTTAGTTAAAGAGATATTGTTAGAGTTAGAATTAGACTTAGTTAGGGTTAGTTATTGATAATGTTAGTTAGAATTAGTGTCAGTTAACGCTAGTGGAGTTAGTGGTGCTAACTGCCCGAACTCGCGGTTACACATTTGTGGCTTCATTTAAAAAAAGAATTAGCCTAAAAATGTTTCAATATAAAAAAAGTAACACGGGGCAAGGTCGAGTAAATAGGGAAGGTGGTCAGTAGTGCCGTTTTCGGTTAAATAAATAAACTGCTAAACACTCAGCGTGGGGTTGGCAGGCGCGATGTCATGGTAGATGAGCCAATTTGCTGTTTTACACAACTCAGGACGTTTCTTTTGCAAATCGTATCGCAACATTCTCAAAACTTACAGAAAAAAAACTTGGTTGGTCGTTTGACCTAGAGAAACAATTATTAGGGCAATATCCCTCTCATCAAAGAAACTGATGATCACTGTTTGTATGTTGAACTTTACTTGCCGCGCATTCTTGTGTCGTGGGAAAGTGGTAGTTTTTTTTTTTTTTTATTATTGACTGGAAAGATGCTATTGCACCAAGTGTTTTCACAAGGCGCCCGTCTTTCTGGCTTCTTGCTCGCGGAGCAGTCCGGGAGAGCGAAGTCGTCTCGCCCCTCCTTGTACTTCTGACCAATAGGTCGCGCTTCGGCGCACTCTAGCGGTGATTGTGGAAAACCTGCTTGCCAATTGGTTATAAAAGACAGCGCACCGGGGTGCTATCCAATTTTCTTCTTTTGCGTTACTATATCTATCTCT